ATTTAAATTTTTATTATAATCTTTGAAAAGTAAAAATTTGGCATGAACTTGAAAGATTCTTTGTTTAAATACCAGTAGAATTTGTGAATCTGTGAAATTATGAAATTTAATTTTCAAATAACGTAAAAAAGAACTAGAAATTCAATATCTATCCTATTAAAAGTGAAGTACAAATGGGAATTAACCATCACTTTTTCACATTATTTACAATGGATTGCCACTGGTAGCTTTAATTAATCGCAAATGTTATGTTTAAAGCCCATCCCGTTTTTCTGCTATATATTTTCATGGGCTGTATTAAATTTAGAGTAACTTTACTTTAACTTGGGCCTAATTGCCTTTATCCAACCATCTTTAACCGGCTCACATCTCTAATCTTTAACCATATAATATTCGACTCATAATAATATTTCATACGGACAGAAACTTACAATTATAACAACTGTTTTCTACAAGTTTTTTTTTAAAAAGGACACAATAACAAGTATTTGCTAGAGAACTACATATACCAATCTTTGGCTTATTACATAATATATTCCAATGAAAAACCAGCTGGTTTTGTTAAATTCAATCAACACAAGCATTCGGTTTTTATATTAAATAATTATAATATTACTCAAGAAGAAATCTAACCTTTCAAACGTGAGCTCAGTATTTACAAATTTCTTCCTTGCACCTGTCATTAAAATAATATATCCGATAATATCAATTCAAAATTTATAACTAATCAACTAACTATTCAATAAATCTTCAAATCTATATAATAATGATTCACTTTTGAAGCTCCTAAGACTATCCACATCAGCAGCCGAGTGGGCCCTACGTATTTAAATTTTAAAAGCTTATAGTCTTTTTAAAATGACTATGAACAATGAATACACTTTAGCAAAGTGGTATAAGGCATTTAATTAAATCTGCAAGTGTGTGGGTTCAAACCACGCAGCTGTTATGTATTTTAGTTTTTTCGTTTGGATTATTATCATATGGTCTTTTTAGTTTTAATGTTTCTATGTTTTTTTTCCTCTGGACTTATTATTTAAAGCCCAAAATAGTGGAAAAATCCTAAAGTTTGACGAACTCAAACCCAAAAACAATTAAAAATGGATCAAAAAACGAATATCCAAAAAAAAAGGAAAAAAAATGAGTCTCACGCGGCACTATCATGTCCTAATATATATTTTTACAGTTAGAACATATTTCCTAATATATATTTTCAAAAAATTATGTATGTGAAATAAAATAAAATAAAATAAATAGTTTTATTATTTATAAAATAACTATGTAATTTCTCTTCAATTTTTAATAGTTACTATAATTTCATTTTTATCAGACTACGGCGGATGGATTTCCACAGTCGATGACGCCGTAAAGAAAAATACCACATTATTCATGAACAAAATCCAAACTTACAAAAAAACATATTCAAACCTATCTATTGAAACCCAAACAACAAATATTAGTTTAAATTAAAGTTATTTTCAAATTGATAAATCGTTTAGTACAAATATAAATATTATAAATAAATATTTATATCAAGTTTTGACATCCGATAGAAAAACTATTTCCAACATAAAATAACAATATAGACATCTATTTTTATACACTAAAAACTATATTATAATTTAGTTATTCCTATAAACCTTATTTATTATATAAATAACATTTAACACATTATATATATATAATATTTTCACTTTGCACTCTTGCTACATTCTTTCTATTTCATCATTATTTGGTATTATTAGAATAACCTACTAAACCAACAATCGAAAAAAACACAGATCCCGGCTCCGCGCTTGCGTGGGGGTTATGCAGCTAGTATCTTAAATACTTAACATAATAATCCCCTACATTTAAGGTCTCACATTAATAATAGATATCGAACAACTTGGTAATCACGATAATATAGGTATGATTGAATACAACATTAACAACAAAAATCTTTAAGAATATTCGAATATTAAAGATATTCCTTATCTTTAACGACTTGCTCATCAAGTTTTTAAGATATTAGTTTAGATTTACCTATCACTTATGTAACTATATATATCACTGATTGTACGTTCAATAACAACATTCATTAGCAATCTAAAATTTGATCAAAAAAAAAAAATAAAAAAAAAGCAATCTAAACAAAAAACAAATAATGTCAAACAACACAAGTCTCATGGTTGTCAAAGACTTGAAACCATTCAAGACTAAATGGCGATCTCAAGTGAAAGTTCTACATTCGTGGCTGCAAAACACTGGTTTTGGTGGGGAGACTCTTCAAATGATTCTGACCGATGAACAAGTAATTTCAATACACAATCAATCATCAATTTATTGTTCCTTAATATGCGTTGCTTACATTATGTTATGCTTCTTTTGTAGCGGGATAAGATTACTCCTTCATGCAAAAGGAATCTAACGATGGTGAAGCGGAGATCAATATTCCATCAGAATTTCTTATTATAGACTCCAAAGATCCTATAGAAGCCATTAGCACAGCCATTTATGGGGATACTGCTTCTCTACATGAAAACAAAGAGGTAAAGTTATTTCAAGAGAGAGCTATCCTATGTCCGACTAATAAAGATGTCAATATGATTAATGAGTACATGCTGGATCGGCTGGATGGTAAATTTATTTTTACATGATTATTTTTTCTCTAGATGTATATAAGATATATACTAATAATTCAGTTTCTATTTCAGGTGATGAGAAGATTTACTACAGTGCTGATATTATAGACCCAAGAGACAGGGTCCGGTAAACAATAGAGTTGTCATCTATTTATTTTGTGATTTAAATATACATACACAAGTACTTTTGTTTACGTCTTTTTAAATGCAGGTTTCAGAGCTTTACAAACATGGACTAATTTTTTTTTTTTTTTAAAAACAAAAACGTAAACTCACATCGGACAAAGACCTTTTCTTTAACATGTTAAGCGCATGTGACTATTATACATAGTCATATGGAAAACTCATTTCCTGCAAAAAGTTTGAGTCTTTAACCAATTTAAGCAAGTAACATATTTCACAGATTCTATAAATCATATTTCAATGTTACTCACAGAGAATTTCAAAATATGATGAAATGAGTACTTATCTTCTTTTTATCATGTCGGTTCTTCCCCTTTTTTTTACGGATCTGCTTGATTCTCTATCTTGGACACCCTTAAAACTGAACGGTTAATCAAATACATCACCACTGACGCATGAGGCGTTTCTTCAGTTGATGTATCCATGTCTACTTTTTCTTCTTCTATGTCTTGATTCCATAGACAATAAAGGAAACAATTAACCTGTTCAAAACAAAACATTTGTTCAAATCAACAAAGTATATAAGATGTTAAACAGAGTATAGAGTGTAATTGGTACAGTAATCGAAAATCGAGTGAGTAACTTATCCCTGGAATTTGCTGAATACATATAACCTTAGACTCTTCTTTGTTATTGATTGGTATGTTTTTTTTTTCATTGAGTAGTTAATAATGTTTGTTGGGTCTTTGTTAATTTTCCGGAAGAATTTGGGCTATCAATTTTTTTAATGTTTACAAACCTATCACTATCATTTACAAAGCCCATTTATAAAAAAAATATAAGTTGCTTTCAATATATAAATTATTTAATCTATATTATTAAAAATATCATATTTTAAAAAAACTGTAAATTCATATTTTCTAATTTACATAAAATCTGTCCAACTATAATTCATCTATAACTAAATATGGTTAATAATTTAATATGAACTTATTCACTTCTACATATTTTAACAAAATAATCCATTCAAGCTCATGAGTAAAGAAAAAACATATCAAAGTTTGGTTTAATTTCTATAAAATTAACAAAAAAACACTTACAACTACATGATTAACAAACATCTTTCCAACAATTTAGATATAACTAATTCGAACTCATCATTTCAACATTTTAGATCATCATATAGTATAATATATATATATATATATATATAATATCTCAAATACATAAATATAATTAATATCATAAAATATCAAACCAAAACAAACACCCGCGCGGGCGCGCGGGTCAAAATCTAGTCCTTATTAAATTCCAATACAAAATGCCTGCCGGAATCCCAAGAGGTTGCTAAACACCTTGCCGTTTATGCCCAGACAATAGGGAATTTTGCCAATGAGATAAGCCAAGATTAGGAAGGAATGTGCATCTCAAAGAAGTAACAAACTGAACTTAGATAAGCTACAGCGAGAAAAGGCTAACGCGATTAATTCATTGACTCTTGTCTTCTTCCTTAGTCTAATGAATCATGGACTTTTGTCTTCTGCATTGTCTTCTTCCTTAGGCTTGTTCTCGCTAATCGCTGGTGTTTTCTCTGCATCCACATAGCGACCTGTCATTGGATCAACAGGGCGAGTGTCTCTCTCTCCACCTTTACGTCCCATAGCCACCATTGGAGGAGGGGGAAGTAAACCGGATCTGAATAGGAGACGTTGAACCGGGTCTGATGCCTGAGCACCAACAGATAACCAGTACCTGTACATTGAAAAAAAAAGAGCATGTCCATTAAATCAAAAGTTACATGCATCTATTGTTGAAATTATACATTCATAAACTTCATCTTTGATTACTACTAACCAAAACGTCATAAATTTTAATTTGAAACGATGCAAAAGAGCATGACAAGATGCCAGAGCTGCATAGCCTATGACCGTATTACTATCGCAAAAGAGATTAGATAGGAGCTTAAGTGTGTATCCGAATAAAGAATCAAAAGATTCTTCCTCTTACAGCAATAAGAAGCAATGGCACAGAACTCAAAGCAGACGTTCCACAGAAAGAGTCAAAACCAGAGGAGTTTCATTTGTCATACACCATGTTTGTTAAAGCAGTTCCACAAAATTTAATTCGCTTCTTAAACTACTAATTGATTCGATTGAAATGAGGTACGTCCTTGCTTCAAGTAACAGTTAAGTAGCATGACAAGAAAGAAAGATGATCAAAATCAACAATGTGAAACATGTATCACCTTCTGATAATAAAAACCATTCAAGACTAAACTCATATCCTTTGTATTGGATGGGAATAGAGTGAAATATAACGAAAACTATGCATTAAGACAGTGATTGATTGGATCACATCATTGCTCCAACTAACAGTTAAATATCATGCATGGCAAGAACAAAAAAAAAAAAGAGTAAAACCAACCAATGGAAAAAAGTACTTTCACCTTTTAATAACAAAAACCAATTCAAAAGTAAACTCATCTCTTTTGACAACAAAACGGAGAAGTGACTATAGAACCATGCATTAAGATCTCTGGCGGCAGAGGTACTTCAGCAATCAACCAAAAGGTCCAAGACATTTCAAACGTAGAAACCCAGAAATTCAGAACAGTGATTCAAGTAAGCAGATGAAAAATCTCACGATTAAGAAAATGCATTGCTTTCCTCTAAATTTGAACAAAGAGACAATTTTTACAAAAAAATTAAGAAAAAAAATGGCAAATATAATCAAACCCAAGACTGTTTCCCGTATAAAGTAGCCTAATTTGTTTCCAACTCCACAACGAAAAAGTGACTACAAAAACCATGCATATTAAGATTTATAGAGGCAGAAGTAGAAAAGAAACACACAAGTTCAGAACACTGATTCAAGCAAGTAGAACACAGTCTCAAAGAAAGAAGACTTTAGAAAAAACCCATTACTTTAACAAAGACCCAATCTTTACAACTAAAATGCAATTACACTTCCAGTGTATAAAGTAGCCTAATTTTTTTTTGACATTTCACAGATTAACAAAGCTAAGAGAGCTTCCATATAACAGTGGCCTAGATCATCAATCACCGACATGTTAGAGAAACGAGAGAAAGAAACATACTTGATACGGTCAAACTTGAGACCCATTCTCTTACCCCCGTCCTGCCCTGCACACAACCGAGATCGTATAAGAACCATCGATTTGAAGAAGAGCAATGTAAAATGCAACGAAATGAAGTCGGAAGAGTGAGTCACCTGGGAGAGGATTGAAGTAACCCAAGACCTCGATGTGTTTCCCGTCTCTGGGAGATCTGCTATCAGCTGCCATCACCCTGAAAAATGGTCTATTTTTGCATCCTAGCCTCGATAATCGGAGACGCACTACCATCTTTCTCCTCCTTTTTCTTGGTGAAAATACGAAAATCGATTTTTGGATAATGGGCGAAAAAGATAGAGAGACTTGTGATTCGAAAAAATTGGGATCGGATATGAATTTAGGGTTCAGGGTTTTTCTTAGAGGTGTCAATTGGGCGGGCCGACCATGGGCTAGCCCTGTCCAATTCATTTTGGACGGGCTATGGACGCGCCCAATTCATATATGGTCCAACTGTATAAAAACCCAATTGGTCTATGGTCTAACTGGTCAAAGACCAAATGGACAATGGGTGTCCATGGGCCTCCAAAACACACAATTTCATAATTTTTATTTAAA